TGCTTCCTATAGTGAGGCACTGTGCATATTAAACAATAGGTATAATAATGAAACCATGATAATTAATGCAAACATTTATTCTATTCTTGATATACCTCCCATTACTAAGGGTACTGCTGCCTCACTGAGGGAGTTCATAAGTAGAGTCAAGCAGCAAATAGGGGCTCTAAAAAATCTCAACCTGTAAAGGAATGGGATATGTTGTTAGTGTGTATTCTAAATAGGAAGGTGGATCAGTTTACAAACAGATCCTATCAGATAGACCGAGACAACTCCGTCTTACCATCTCTAAACGAACTTTTGTCGTATCTTGAAAATAGAGCTACAGCCTTAGAGGCAAGTGTCATTCCTGAAGTTAAATCTAATAAAGAGAAAGGTAATGTCACTCATGTAGTGAATAAAACAAAAGACGATTTAATATATCCTTTTTGCTCCATTGCTGGTCATAAATTATATAATTGCAAAAAATTTCAGTCATGTTTGGTTGGTGAAAGAATTTCATTTGTAGATACAAACAAATTTTGCAGAATATGTCTAAACAAACATTTAGGTAAATGTAAATTTAATTTGAAATGTTATTCTTGCCAAAAGGATCACAATTCGTTGCTGCATCTTTCTTGAAAAGCAAATGAGGACAGTCATCTGAGATCAGTGACTCAAATTGCTGCTGTCCTACCAATAAATTAAAATATATTTTTATTATTTTTTTTAATGAGTTTTGTAAATTATGTACTTTTTTATAAGGTTATACTTTCCTGATATAAGGTTAGGTTTATTCACTTCAATAGTCATCGATATTAATTAAGACTTTCGTAGTCATATTTTGAAAAGACATTCGTAGTCATTCATATTAATCAAGACTTTCGTAGTCATTGATATTAATTGAGACTTTCGTAGTCGCCTTTTAAAAAGACTTTCGTAGTCATTCATATTAATTAAGACTTTCGTAGTCATATTTTGAAAAGCCTTTCGTAGTCATTCATATTGATCAAGACTTTCGTAGTCATTCATAATAATTAAGAATTTCGTAGTCGTCCATATTAATTAGGACTTTCGTAGTCGGTTTTTAAAAAAGACTTTCGTAGTCATCTGTATTGATTAAGACTTTTTTAGTCACCCATAAATGGAAGACTTTTGCAGTCACTATTATATACTTCAACGCTTATGGTCTATTGAATTGTTTTTTTTTGCTGGGTACTTTGCAATTTCTATTGTAGTTTCAGCAAGTGAAACTTCAAGGCCCCCAGTATGTTGGGAGCTTTCCCAACGCAACTTTACTGCGCTGCTTGTGAACTTTGTATTCGTAATAATTATTATTATCAAATAGGTTCTGGTTGTCAACTGTGCATTTTGTTGTTGTTCTCTATGAAAATATGAATTATTATTATGTTCAATTTTTTCATTATTATATGCAATTGTATAACTTTTATGGTGCTCTGCCCTCGACGGCATCCCAATTCATTTTACCATTTGATTATTATTGAAATGACGAAGACTATTATTGAAGTTGGAATTTAACACACCAGTAACGGATTGCATGTTTCATTACTTGCTAGCAGCCAGTGATTAGTTAACTGAAGCAATGTGAGTTCTCCACAAACAGCAAAAAGCAAGAGCATAATGATAATTGAAATAATAAAAAGTTTGCTCAGGTAGGAAAACAAGTATCTCGGTCGAGTATAAGATAAGAGAGCCAGCTGAAAAGCACTGTATAGATCTGCAGCAAGCACTAAGAATAAAAAGGCATACCATCCTATCCAAAATCATGATTCCTGCATTGGAATATGATGATGACAGATATTTTTTTTTATTTTCGAGACCTATCTGAGATAGGTCCCCTACAATGTTTTCCACCGCCGGCGTTGAGTCTGATCCAGTGGCTACCTCAACTAAGGAATCTGCTGCCGAAGCTGCTCCTCCTTCGGTGATGGTAGATGTTGTTGATGAGGAGTCGCTCAATTCTGAGTTCTCTTCTGTTTTTTTTTTTTTGTTTTATGTTTGGTACATATTAGTTTCCACAGGTGGCAAGAGAAAGAACCGTTACTCACACCAGAGCTCCGCATTAGTGTGAGCAGGTTAAGTTAAACCAGAGGTCGCCCTGTATCTGCTCTGGGACTCTGTGCTCTATAGAATTCTAGAGCTCGCTTTCTATAGTGGATATCTATTTTCAAAAACGATAGTCGGCTGAAATGGCACACTGTGTCACTATCGACAGCAGTTCTACTACGTTCTCGGATCCTTTTATCATGCTACTTACCATTCGAAAAACGTAGTACAAATCTAGGGGAAACTCTAGGGAATTTTTATTTGACTCTTGAGAAATGTCAATATTATTTATCGATTATTGACTGTATACGTCATTAATAAATTTGTTAATTTGTTTTTGTTATTATTTGGTTTGCTTCTTTATACATTGTCATATGTCTATGATTTATACCTATTTTCGCTTTCTGAAAGTTGAGTTTAAGTTTAAAAATTATGTTTTGTGGCGCATTAATAATTTGAATAACAATATTGTTGAAGAAGATGAGAAGCTCTTGGAGAAGCTTGAACATATTTGTCTGGAAAATATCCAGTGATGCCCAAAAACAGTGACTGTTTTCAAAAAGAAGATGTTAGATTTGAAGAGCTAATTGGGCAAAGCTATAATATTTATGTGGCTAAACAAAATATGTCAAGAGCAGAGCAATAGAGAAAGTATCAATAGCCATCAGGGTTCAGTGTTCAGTTTCCTGTGACTCAAGACGAGAAAAATCTAATTGAAGCAGGATTTATGAAAAAATTTAATTTCCCAGGTGTGATAGTATCGGTCGATGGAACCAAAGAATATTATAGACTAACGTCTCTAGAGTAATTTAAAAGAAAAATATAATTGATAACTAAATAATTAATTTTAAAAATATATTTGACAACTAAATAAATAATCCATTTTAAAAATATAATTGATAACTAAATACTAAATTCATTTTAAATTTTGAATTTTTAATTTAAGAAAAATATATCAATTTCGATTTATTTTCATAAATTATGCATATCTAATGGTACCTTATTTTGAATTTTTGAACTTTTTTGAATTTTTGAATTTTTTAATTTTTAATTTTCAAAAAAATAATAATAATAATAGATTTTATTTTCAAACGTCATATAACAGTAATTTTTGTGATCATTTTGATAAGGTATAAGTGTCACTTCAATGACTTTCAGCTTGAGCGGCGTATAAGTGTTATACTCCGCCGGAGTATAACACTTATACTAACGGCGTTTTTCCATAGCGATTTAAGGTAGTTCACCTGTACATACAGGTATAGGTGCTTATAAAGGTAAACCTTCTAAATATGAATGTCATTATTTAAATTGAAAATTCTGCACTATTCGGAATAAAGATTGTTTGGAAATAAAATATTGTATTTCATTCGAAGTATAAATATTCTTCATGTGCCTTGCATGGATTTGATTCAAACTTGATTCAAACTTCCATGCGATTACACAATGACATGGATATATGAATAATTCATGGTTTCTTTGAACCACCATCTGTTTAGAATTTGAGCCAATTCCTCCCAATGGGTTTTGGCAGTTTTAAACGTAAATTCTGAGGAAAACTTTTGTTTTGCCAGGTTTGGATATTTCTGTAGGTAGATATTCTACCATTAGTTTTTTTTGTTGTGTGTTTATCGGCGCAAGTTTTGATTTCTCCATTCTTAAAATGTGATACAATATAATTCAAAACAAGACTAGTATTTGAATGTGGCATAAAAATATCACATAGGTAAATATATATAAAAAGAACATGTTTTCGCCTATAACTATGTAAATATAAATATCCAATTTTCATTAGGAAAACTATTGATAATTACAAAATACATCTGCAATTTTTGTTAATTTGCATGAAATTGATTATAGGAAAAATAGAGAGAAAAATATTGAATCCTAATAATTTCCAAACTGGAATTGTTCAAAACAATGAATCAGAAAATAATGTACGTACACGTTCAACAGAGATTTACTTTAACTGCCTGCCTAGTTAAACAAGTAACGATTATTTAAAAAAATAATATATTACATTGTTACTTACTTGGCTTAATATTTCAACAGGATTTTAAACACAACACCACAATCCACAATACCCTCGACTTTTTAAAACATACACTCAAAAACAGCAAAAACACCAACACAAAATAAAACAACAAAAATCAGCTGTTCTACTGATTATTATTATTTGTCTTCTGCTTCTTCTTTTTTTTTCAAATTAGTTAATTTTTATGTGGCAAATGTACATAATAATCTTGGCAATATTCAGCCTTATTCACGTGTCCGCTTGTTTATTGAAATTTTCCTATATTGGATATTGAGACATCTCAATATTGAATAGATTTCTTATTCACGTGTACCCCCTGAAAACGGGATTGTTGGAAATTGTTAAATAAAGTTGTCAAAAACCTCTAAAATGTAACCTCACTTTTCACTTTGTTGTTTACTTACAAAGTTTAGTTGTTTATGAGTTGAGTTTATTTATTTATTTCACTGTCTGATAATCTGATTTGATAATGGAGAAAAAACAGTTTGGACTTTACATAAAATTCGTGAAAGAAAATCCCGTTTTAAATACGGGAAAATTGCAACCATCTAGCAATCCCAAAGACCTGGAGGTGTTGTGGGGTGAACTGAGCAAAGTCCTCAACTCCTGTGGGGACGGATCCATTAGGGAAACAGCTTCCTGGAAAAAGGTAAGTAATCAACTTTTTAATTAATAACAATAAATATTGAAATTTGTGTCCTTCAAACAAATGTAATTTATTTTGGACCTATATAAAACACAATAATCTTTAGGCTTGTTTGATGTTTTTGCTGCTAAACATGACAAAACAAAAGTACCACTGACTTGTAGATATAAGTTCATCGTGTATCTACTCTTTACAACAAAATCTAAAAAAAAACTAAGAAAACATTTATTTATAGTTCATCCTCAATATAAAAAAAAAAACATTATTGTTTATTCTAAGTCTCCACTGAATGGAAAAGTGCTTCAAGGAAAAAGGCAAGGGAGAACAAACAACTCTCAGAGCTTGAAGAAGAAATTCTTACAATAACAGGTCGGGGTGCTGTCAGTGGTTTGGATGTAAGAGAACTGGGAACTGAAACAACTGAAACAGAAGATAAGTTGCCCGAGAAGGAAAAAAATCAGAGTGGCCCTTCGAAAGTCAAGGTATGCGAAACAAAAAAACAATATTTTTCTTATACTTGTGATCCTAAGCACCACCCTTAAAATATTATTTACAGTGCTTAGATAAAGTAGTTGGACATTCCAGTGATGAAGCCAAGGATAAAGCTTCATCTAGTAAGAGTAAGCCAAAAAATGTTCACAAGGAGAACAATCCCAAAGACAAGTAGGGGCCATTTTTTTTTTATTATCGGTTAAAAACCTGTTTATATTCCTTTCTGGGTTCAACTTTACATTGCCAAAAATTAAGTCGAATTCAATTTTTTATTGGTGTTTTTTTCTGTATATATATGTTACAGACCTTACAGAGCAGACCTTCTGGACCTTTTGTTTTAAATTATAGAGCCAAAGAAAAAACGTACAGGGGATGTGCTTTGTGACACGTACGAAGCAGCCACAAATGAGACCTGTGAGAAATTGGAGGGGATTAGCTTAGCAATATTAGAAGTAGCCAAAGCTATCAATCGTTATTGTGACATTGTCGAAGCTTCCAACCAAACAACAATAGAATATGTAGATGAACAAAATGCTGAGGAAGTAGAAGACGAGGATAAATAATAATTAATAATATTAAAGGTACACCTGTATTATTGGTATACCTGTAACGTCAATGGTAAACCTTGTGTTTTTATGTTAACAATTATTAACTAGCATACCTATATTATTAAAAGTCAGTTGTTACTGGCAATGTCAAATATGTTAGTAATGTGTCATGAAATGTTAAAAAACGCTCTAATAAAATAGATCAAATAATCGGTTTCCGCAAGTTTAATTATTGCTACGCTTATAAAAACAAGAAATAATTTATTATTAACCATTAATGTAGTATTTATAATCCTAGAGACCCAAAGAATTTATTTTTTCGTTTTTTTTTGTTGTTATTTTTTAGAATTTTTTTTTTATGTTGTATTATGAGGTATATTCTATTGTCATTATTATTTTGTGTCTTTATGACACATTAATAAATTTGGTACGTGTTAAATATTTTATTTTCAACCACATATGTAATGTTGACATTGCAGGTTTTTCAAAATCTTGAAAGTGTCACATTTCTGGACTTTGACATTTATCGGGACGGTAATGCATATGCCTGCCTAGGACGGAAAAGCATTTTCCGTCCGGGACGGCAAATGCTTTTCCGTCCCCATTTCCCTGCTCGTTCCAAATTGATAATTTTCATACAGCTCTCACATATAATAATAAAACCACATGTATTACATGGAACTAATTAAATCTATTCACTTATTTACATTAATTGTTAAATTAGCATTGTTGTTTATAATGGAAATCTTGAGACCATCCTGTTGGAATTGTGTTTCGTTTGGAACTATTATCTCTTGCGCTTGCGGATGAGTTTCCGCATGTGATGTACTTGTGGATGCACTGGACAACTGAATACCTTTGGAAGTAGAGGATAGCATCAGAGCAGTCTTACTTTTGTTCTCCAAAGATGCCTCTATGTAGCCTTCAGCAACCGTGCTCGATTTCCACCCTCCCAGTCTTTTGAGTTGCAATAGATCGGCCCCGTTGTCAACCAATAAGGTTGCGGAAGTACGACGAAAAGCATGCCCTGTAAAAGTTTCAATTTTTGGAAGCTTCAAAAAAGCAGCTATTTTATGTGGAAATTTTGAGATTGAATGATAGCCAATTGCTTGGTTATGTAATTTCCCATTTCGCCATTGAACAAATAACCTGTCATTTTTCAAATTTTTCCGCAAAGTGAGGTATTTGTGGAAAATAGCAACCCAATCTGGATCGCTTATGATAAACGATCGACTTGTGTAAGTTTTTGTGTGTGGAATTTCTATAGCGATCTTTCCTTCCAAAACGTTGACGTGCTCCATTTTCATCTTGACTAGTTCATCGCTCCTACATGCACCCGACACACCAACAATTAGCGCTACCTGAAACCAGATAAAAATAAAATGGGTAACCTAGCTATAGCATACAGAAAATCATTTTGATTTTCGCATTTTTATCTTCTTTGTATATTTTTTGAAAACCTACCTTGATGCTAATGAATTCTTCAGCTGCCTTCGTGAGGAACTCGTTAATGTTTTCTCTGGAAAAAACGCTCGACTTTTTCGGCTGAAAGCCCAGATTTTGCCGCTTCAAAAAAGCTATAAGTTTTGCGTAATTGGAGATATCAACTTTCTCTTTCAATTTAATCATGGTTTTCAACATACTGTAAGTCGACCATAAAGTCGAAGGCTTCTTTTCCTTAGATAATTCGCCAAAATACGCCAACAAAACGGTCTCCGAGGCAGTATTTCTCGTTCCTTTCTGGCTACACCATGCTTCGAATATTTGAAAAGCCTTTTCGTACCGAAATTTGCTTTTTGCTGGAAGCAAACTCTCTCCAATCCTGTCTGCTGCTTCTTTTAATTCAGGTGGGGTACAATCCATCGCTTCATCTTCACTTTCCGAAATCATTTCTTTGGGGAGAACGGGGAGAAATCTAGTGAAAATCTATTATTTCCGCAAAAATACTGAGCGAAAACTACCGTCGTTAAGGCGTTGTTGATCTTATCTATGGTTGTTGATTTTGCGGTTTCCTGTGGTTTCGTCTTTTGTTTTGGCCTTTACAGGGCCTTTGAGATCGTCAAAATTGATGACATTGACAAAAAAAGTGAAATATTTTTTTCTAAGGCCAGTTTTACACTATATGAAAATTTCGTATAACAGAATCTTTAGTTTTTGCATCAGAAAATTAAGGGTTGAAAATAAAAAAGTATACAAACCTCGACGGAAAACTTCATTTCTGTCTCGAGGTTGAGTTTATCTCGACGCTTCGCGTCTCGATAAACTATAATAACCTCTCGACCAGCAATGAAGTATTTTCCGTCTCGGATTGTAATATACTATTATATTTCACATTGGGTTTCCAATATATAACACAATGTAGTATATCCATTTTGCTAGAAAATGCCCACAACGTTTAAAGATTTAAATTTTTTCCCTGTATCCCCAGACCCCGCCCCACCCCGTCCCGCCTATACCCTCGCTCGACCCATCGTAGATCCTCATTATTCATTTTTGTGCGAAAGTGTTCACTTCAGTGAGTGTTTTTTCGATGCCGAAACGAAAGGAAAAGCAGCGTACCAGACGCGCTAAAAAATCAAAACACAATGACAAATACAAGAAACTCTTTAGAAAAATGTTAGAAAGGATGTCAAGCTCCTCAGATAGTAAGTAAAAATGCTTAATTAATTCCAATTGTAATTTTTAGGTACTTTTCAACTGTCAGAAAAAAAAAAAAAAAAAAAAGTTTTACGTGCAACAAATAGGCGAGGTATGCAGTAACTCGACTTTAGGTGGGTTACATAAGTCAATATTCGTACTGCGACGTTATGTGGCACAGAATATTCGTACCTTTTGTCTTTTTGAAAGGCTCGCCATATCCTATGACGAAAATTTGCCGTTCAAGCGAAATCCTTCGAGACGTTTATCGTTCGATTATTTTTTGCTGTTTTTTGTTGCCGCCTTTGTTCAGGTGCTGTTAATCGGACCTGCTATGCTATGATTCATAGTTTTTATATACATGACACAGAAACAGCTACAAAACTAAATACCTACGTATTTTTGTTTTTCTTAAAGGGTCGACTCATATTGTACATTTTAAAATATGAATGATGAATTGTAACAAAAATGTCAAAGTGCTTTTTTGCATTTTGCAGGCGAGTCAGAGTCTTCATATTCAAGCGACTGTGAAACTGAAGAGGAGCCTGTTTCGAATGATTTAGAAGGCAATGTATTAACGGAAACGCCAGAAAGTCCGGATCAAAATTTTTCGGACGTCTTAGGATTGGAGCCAGAAGGAGAGGGATCATTAGGCCCGGCATTAAATGAACAAGTATGGACGCGTTGGTCCTCCTATATCACGAAAGGCGTCGATAAGGAGCAAATTAAAGAATTGTTCCAAAAGTATCCTCCCCCATCCAACGCGGAGCTGCTCCAGGCCCCAAAAATAAACCCTGAAGTTCAGGTTTTGTTGACCACCGAACAAAGAAACACTGATAATTTCCTAATTAAAATCCAAAATGATTTAGGGCGAGGGCTAACCGCCATTGGTCAGGTGCTTACTGGCACACTGGACAAACCCGAGAGGAGTGAGGAAGCAAAAGTCCTAGCTGACGCAGCAAAATTGGTCGCCGATGCTATGCATTATCTTACCTCACACAGGAAGTTTGCCATGTCGTCGAAAATTTCTCCCTCGGCAAGGAAAGTGGCACAGGAATGTTTGACAGACAAATTTTTATTTGGTTCGGACTTCAATGAACGATGCAAGTCAGCAAAGGAAATAGAAAAAACCAGCAGGGAAATTAAGACCTTTGGAAAACCTTCAACTTCATCCAAGCATTTAAACTTCAAGCGCCCGAACTACAAGAACCGGAAGAAGGAGACATCCGAATATCCCAGCAAGAACAAACGTCAACAGAGAACCCCTCAAGACCGGAGTCGCCGATCAAGGAAATACTGGAGAAGACTTTTGAGGTAGGCCGATTAGGAGGTAGACTTCGTCATTTCATATCACAATGGTCTGAACTGACATGCAGTAACTTTATTTTAAATTGCATTACTGGTTACAAACTTCCCTTCTGCTCTAAACCAAAGGGTAAAAATACATGTCGAACAAAAAGTTTTTCCTCTACAGAAAAACATGCAATACAAAACATCATCAAAGAACTTGTAGATAAGGGAGCCATAGAACAATGTGACTCAGTAAAGGGAGAAGTTCTATCGCCCTATTTTCTTAGGAAAAAACCTAACAGTTCCTTCAGATTCATTTTGAACTTAAAATATCTTAACCAATTTATAATTCCTCCACATTTCAAGCTGGAGGACCATAGAATGGTCCAAAACTTACTTTATAAGGGCTGTTATATGGCTTCCCTTGACCTACAAGATGCATATTTTTTAATTCCTATAGCAAAATCTCACAAAAAATATTTACGATTCCGTTTTAGTGGTTTGACTTATGAATTCTCTTGTTTGTGCTTTGGGTTAAATGTAGCGCCATATATTTTCACAAAAGTTCTTAAACCTGTAATAAACCATCTTAGACGTCAGGGTATATTGCTAGTTATATACCTGGATGATATTCTTATCTTTGGGAAAACGTATCACGAGTGTTTGAAAAATGCACATTTAACAAAACAGTTACTAGAATATTTAGGGTTTCTTATTAATACCGAAAAAAGTGAACTTATACCTTCACAGGAACGCAAATATTTGGGTTTTTGCTTTAATTCGCGAGAATTGTCAATGTCGTTACCTAAAGAAAAAATCTCTAAGATACTTAAATTATTATTCAACTTTCAAAATAAAGAAACTTGCCGCATTCGCGAGTTTGCGCAAATGGTAGGAACTTTAGTATCTATTTGTCCAGCCATTACATATGGTCGTTTACACATTAAAGCATTTGAAAGATACAAATATTTGTGGCTAAAAAAGAGGCGGGGCAGCTACAACAGGGTAATGCCTCTACCACAAACCTTGAAATCAAAATTTAATTGGTGGATAAATACCCTCAAAAGTAATCCAAAAAAATCTCTTAAACCTGCAAAGTTTGCTCTCGAAATATTTACAGATGCATCATTGACAGGCTGGGGAGCTTTCTGCAATAACGAAAGTACCCATGGGTTTTGGTCAAAGGAAGAATCAGAACATCACATAAATTATTTGGAACTTTTGGCAGCTTTTTACGGTTTAAAATCCTTCTCTAATAACTTAAGTAATTGTCGAATTCTGCTTCGATTAGATAACACTACCGCTATCTCATATCTTAATCGTATGGGCGGGGTAAAATACAAACACTTAAATGTCATTACTTTTCAAATTTGGGAATGGTGTGAGGAAAGAAACATTTTTTTGACTACATCTTACATAAACACCGTAGAAAATAAAGAAGCAGACAAAGAATCACGATCATTAGCCATTGAAACAGAATACAGTTTAAACTCCAAAGCTTTTAAAAGAATAACTGACTATTTTGGTACTCCAGAAGTAGATCTTTTTGCCTCCAAACAAAACAAAAAATGTTCAAAATATGTTTCATGGCATAGGGACCCTGATTCTTTTACTGTAGACGCATTCACGATTCCATGGCAAAATATGTTTTTTTTACGCTTTTCCACCATTCCCCTTGGTACCCAGAGCTTTAAACAAAATAATTGCAGAAAAAGCAACCGGATTATTAGTGGTGCCTTATTGGCCGTCACAAGCTTGGTATCCACTCTTTATAAAACTGTCAGTTTCAGATATTATGTTTTTGAAACCTTCCAAAACTCTTTTATTATCTCCTTTTAGAGAACCCCACCCGATGAACGCAACCCTTACCCTGGCTGTTGGGAAACTCTGCGGCGAGCTTTTCAATTGAGAAATGCCCCTGATTGTGCCATTTCAACTCTGGTAACGTCTTTAAGCAGCAACACCAGAAGACAATATAACACAACATATAAAAAATGGTGGCAGTGGTGTAACGACCGCAACGCTTCTCAATATGATCCTTCAATCCAGAACATCATGGAATTCCTACAGATAGAATTCGATAAGGGAGCTTCGTTTACAACCCTTAACACTCATAGGTCAGCACTCGCCTTACTTTTTTCTCTTTCTAATGATCAAAATGAATTAATTAAGAGATTTCTCAAAGGCGTATTTAAAATTAAGCCAGTTTTTCCGAAGTATCAAAATACTTGGGATCCACAGATTGTTCTTTTGTATCTGGAAAAGCAAGCCACTCATACCTTACCATTACCAAAACTTACCCTAAAATTAGTTGCTCTTTTAGCCTTAACAACTGCGCAAAGGGTACAAACATTAACAAAAATTAATATTAATAACATTAAGAATTACCATAACGAAAAAATAGTTATATCTTTTCCTGACGTTCTAAAAACTTCTGCTCCTAATAAAAATCAACCAGTTTTGTCTTTCTCTTTTTTTATCGACAAGCCTGAGCTTTGCGTAGCCACCACCTTACTGCATTATCTCGAAGTTACTCTGCCTCACAGATCGGGGAAAAATCAACAACTATTTTTAACATTTAAAAAACCATTTCATCCTGCTACTTCGCAGACAGTGAGCAGGTGGATTAAAACTGTATTAAAAAATAGTGGTGTTAATACTGACATTTTCAAAAGCCACTCCACAAGACACGCGGCTACGTCAGCCGCTGCTCGTTCTGGGGTCAACATCGACACAATTCGAGAGGTAGCAGGGTGGACACAAAAATCACAAGTTTTCAATAAGTTCTATAATAAACCAGTGGCTGAGCCTTTAAACTTAGCCGATGCAATTGTTAATTTAGTACCATAGATAGATAAGTTATTAGTTCACGCATCTAGTTCGTTAATGATTTATTACTGATTTTGTAATAGTCACTTTTTGTACTTATACACTTATTATATAATTACATGTACCTATTTATTATACATATGTATGTTTTCTTCTTTATTATGTATTTTTGGGAAAAAAAAAAAAAAAAAAAAAATATAAAGATAATTAAATTCAATTATCATTACCATAGTTTTCTTTAACAACTTTCGTTTAGATCGTTTGGTACTTTAAACAACTACATTGTGTTATATATTGGAAACCCAATGTGAAATATAATTAATGGATTAAACGACTTACCTTAAGGAAGTTCAATCCAAATTATATGAACATGGGGTTTCCAATATATAACCTCCCTCCCATCCCTCTGAAAGCCCAATTTTTTGTAAAACGATCTAAATTACAGCAATGAATAATGAGGATCTACGATGGGTCGAGCGAGGGTATAGGCGGGACGGGGTGGGGCGGGGTCTGGGGATACAGGGAAAAAATTTAAATCTTTAAACGTTGTGGGCATTTTCTAGCAAAATGGATATACTACATTGTGTTATATATTGGAAACCCCATGTTCATATAATTTGGATTGAACTTCCTTAAGGTAAGTCGTTTAATCCATTAATTATTTCATATAGGTAACTAGAACTATATTCTCTATGTTCACAAAAACAATTTTTTGGATGTTACTTGACACAATTACTTTTGGAAAAGATAGTCAGATGCATTTTGAAATTAATTTCTTTTAGGGACTACAAAAATGACCTATGAACAATATGAGATGTATATAGATGATTTGGGGAAAAAAGAAAAGAACTTTAGTCAACTATGTGAACATCTTAATGCAGTACCTGGCGGCTCTAGAAAAAATTTACGTGAGTGGCAAGAGGTATGATAAGTTATCGTCAAGTTAACAATATAAAATAAACCAATCCAAACCATGCCACTAATTTCAGTAATTTTCAGGCATTTTCAAATTGGCAAAGAGCTGTTAAAAATAAAGCACGAGCGATTTATGTTAGTCAACACCTCACAGGCGGTGGATTTCCCATACCCAAAATATTAACTGTTTTGGAGGAAAAGCTTTTGTGTATTATAGGTATTCTGTGCATTCATGGCATGTTAGTACCTGAATTAGGATTTGAAAATCCGGTATATATTTTTTCAAGAAATGCTTTGAAAGTCTACTCTCCACTTTTACATATCTATGTGTTTCAGAATCCATCAAGAAACGTTATTAAAAAAAAGAGATCTCCAAAGAAAACCGTAGTACACCAAATCAAGAAGTCAAATATTAGATAAACAAAATTACAAAGAAAATCCTTTCTTCCTTAAAATATAATGTAAAAATGGTAAAAATGAAATTAAAATTACTTGTTGAATCAGTTTGGAAGCTGGCATATGCAATAAAAAGATTACTAAAATTATTGTTATAGAGTAAGTTCAGTTTATAGTATTAAGTATGTATTATTTTTAAATAAAAATAAAAAAGTACCTGAAGATCTTGATTTTGTATGATCCATGAATTCAGTTGCCAAGCGATATAAAAACTAGGAAGGAATGAAAGACTTCAGTGAATAAAATAAAAATTTACTTGAGTACCTACTGAATTATTATAAGGTTACCTATAGGTAGTAATATTTTACAGATAAAAATGGTCGGTGCCCTATTAGCAAGCCTATTGGGTATGTGAAAAAAAAACTGTATCCTATGCTATCTATAATAGGTACTACATGTTGTAAAAATAATCTCGAATAATTCTATCTCTAATTATTTGTCCTTCATTGCGATAATTTTGACCTAAATCTAAATTATTTATGTCAATAATTAGATCATCATGCTCCATTTTATCTCCATTAGGTTCATCCATATCATCAATGAAATCTCTTCTTTCAATCAATATGTTGTGAAGAATGGCACAGGCATTTACCAACTCTGCACTATTTACTGGGCTATAGTGAAGTGCCCTATGACCAAAACAACACCTAAATCTCGATTTTAATATCCCAATAACCTTTTCAATAGGGTCTCTAAAATTGGTATTGAATCTTCTTTGTCCCGCATTCAAATTGTTTCCCACTATTGGTGTAACTAACTACGGCTCTAGTGGATAACTACTATCTCCAAGGAGCCAAGAGGATCTTCATACAGCTGACTCATGCACACTCCCTGGGTACCTTGCATTGATTGCTGAAATTTTATAATCTGCACCACATATTAATTGTACATTTAAACTATAGAAGCCCTTTCTATTATAAAATAGAATTCCGGGAAAAACTTCATCTTCAGCTGGAGGAGCTTGAATTTTTATATGGGTACCATCAATTACTCCAATGATACCTGGAATGAAAATGTCAATCATTAGATAAAAGGAAAAATGGAATTTCATTATTCCAAAATCATTTTCAGAAATAAAAAGTGTAGGTAGGTATTCAAAATGTTTGACTTTGATCTTAAGCCCCACTTTGAATGCCTCCTCATTTACTCATAGTGGTAATTTTTTGTTCGAGAGTGAATGGAGAAACAGGTGAAAACACTTTTCGCAAGGACACAAACAGGCAGCTGGAAAGTTTTTTAACATGCTTCTACAGAGATTATTCATAAAAATCGTTTACCAACAGCAGTTATATCGTCATCATTAGTATTCTACTCACCTAGAAACCCATCCAAATTTTGAGCAAATTTAAGCTTTTCTTCATTTTTTTCTTGATCTGTGGTGGGAAAGTGAATTTTGTGGCCAAAATTATTGTTTATTAGGATGTGAGTTACCACGTCAAGACTACTGACAGACGCTTGGCTCATAGGGCAATTGACATCTTGTCCTGTGGACTTTTGATAAGTGCCCTGAGCATAAAAATGCAATGTACTTAAAATAATTAGAGATTTTGGGATGCCATGCGGACGTTCTGCATCTGGAAGAAATTGCCCAATTTCCTCAATTAGATACCTTGCAGTATTTTTTGAAAACCTGTAGATAGTTAAAAAAATATTTTCTGGCAAATCCAGAGGGTTGCTTGTTTCCCGAAGGTTCTTCTTTCTCTGATTGTGTTCAAGTCTAAAAAGTAAAAATACGATCATAGTTATCCAAGCCACTCTCCTTGTTGATTTTCTAACATACGATTTATTTATAGCTCATACCACTCACCAGGAATAAAGAGCTTCCTTACCTTCGATGTTCTTCTTCCAATGCTGCAATTAACAACGGAAGCGGGTGCCTGAACCCGCTGCTTACTAGATATGAAACACTGAAAACTATTATTGGAAAATATAATACACCTGAATAAGGAATTCGATGTCAATTTCAATAACCAATATAACATTATAACTAATATTCAATTCGACAACTGAGGAGCACCTGAATAACAATCCACCATATTTTTACAGTTTTCCAATAACCAAGGCAATAACCAATATCCAAGGATACACGTGGATAGGGCTGATTGCCAAGATTTGTTCTATTGGGAGCTTTGATTGAGTTCTCATCCCATCAATCAAGAATAGGCCCAGGGAGCCATTTGAAAAAATCGGGGAGAAAGAATCGCCGAAAAATTACTCCCTTCTATTGGGCCCCAGAATCGGCCCCCAGACAAGACGAGGGAGAACGGATTCTCGTCTCGTCTCGTCTCGTCTCGCAGCATCACTAGTTGTGCATGACGCACCTGCAAACAATAAGTCCGCCCTTCTGCTTTTCCTTAGGATTTTTTAATTTTTTTTTTCTTCCCAAAACCAATATTAAAAAACGCTTATTTTTTGGCGTTTCCTTTTTTTTTTACTCACTCTCACTCTGTAAATCAAAAAATATAAATGAATATTCAAGTTGGTCGAGCCATTTTCGAGTTTTTGCGAAGCTCACGCAAGTCGCGGCAATTGATTTTTATTTATAGATATACTAAACCAGCCATTAAATTGTAAGTTTTTGGACCATTTATATTTTCTTGTCTCAAAACATCGAATAATATAAAACCTAGCATTACCACCTATTACCTTTTTAGACCATTAATGTCGCCACCAAGATGCTATTGGAGACACATTTTTTGCGGTCCCATTTGGGTCCCAAGAAAAATAATTCGATATCATTTTGTCTTGGCTCATAATGGTCACTTAGACCTTTGAAATCGTCGAATTAAATATCATTTCGAAAAACGGAGCGCTATTATTACCCAGCGACTGCATGCAGACTTCGGCTAAACATGTGCCTTAAATTAAATGACATTAGCGACGAAGAACCATTTCATTTTGGTATTATGTCCAATTCGGTTTTGATGAGAACTTGATCTTGGGTAGTCGTTATCTTGAAATTGGGCTTCTTAAGATACAAATTGGGAGCACTTTATATTTGAATTAAAAAATATATTAGAGAAAATCAAGTATGTTTCGTAAGTCGTTGAACAAGAAAATTAAACTCAAAAAATACTTAACCTAATACTTAGGATTAGTCAGTATACTAGTTGTAAAACTGTAAGGAAGAAACTAGAAAATGGTAACCTGAAATGATCCCTTGAGTAATAAATGCTTAAAGCACACGGACTTACTTAGAAATATTGTTTATGCACGATCGGACGGTAAATTCTGGTAAGTTGATCTTACCGCCCGTCTATATTAGGAGATAAATCAGCTTGAATTTTTTATTATATTCACCCAACAACTATACCTACATATTATATTATCAATAGTAATATAACTAGTGCAATGGAAATTATTGATAATTTTTGGGAAATTTGCTCGAATGCATTTTTAGTTGAAAAAGAGCACGAGTGCACGAGTGCCTTTTTCAGTTAAAAACGCATGACTTTTTATTTTTGAAAACAATGTCAAATGGATGCCATTATGTATAGTTATTTTATTTTTGAACTGGAAGAGTCCGATGTGCATAAAAGGTGATAAGTATTTTGGGCGTTAAGTGTGGTTAACCACCCTCGAGTATTGAAGACTGGGCGTTAAGTACCCATTTGCGCCCTATTATGCGGATGCAATTTGAGAATTTTCGGCTCGCAAATACTAGTACAAATGGTTATTCTCTCGATGGTTTTTTTCATCCTTCAAAATGAACGAAAGTTATCGAATTTAATTTTTCTATAGTTTTATTGTATGTGATATATCTTATAGCGTGTCAATGAGTTTAGGGCATGCAGACGTTAATTAAAATTGATGAAAAATTTTCTTACTTCGACTAAGATTTGAAATCAGGACACTTGCATATCCAGTGCAATGATCTTACCAAGTGGAGGTCACCGCCGAAGGTTGCCGTTGGTTTTCACAACTAACATCTTAAAATTTATGAGAGACTTTGACCGACAGGATAGAAATGAGATAGTTCTCGGTAGCTCAGTTGGTTAGAGGGTCACAGTGGATATGCGAGGGTCTTGCTTGGGTTCAAATCCTATTCGAGGCAAGAAAATTTTTCATTTTTAAATACCGTCTCGTCAACAGGCGCATGAACATGACTGTTTTGCTCCTAGACATGGAGCGCACCTTCGATAGGATCTGGCACTCAGGCCATATCTACAAGCTTCTAGCATTATTTGATTTCCCATTACATATCCGCCCTGATACAGTCATTCATCAATGGTCGCAATTTCTGCGTCAAACAAGATTACGGAAAACCATACAGGTCAAAGAGCCGCAGGGGTCGGCACTCAGTTCAGTCCGCTGCTTTTCCCACTCACTGTACACTGCGGACATTCCAAATTTCCAAAATACAAAGCTGGCGGTGTACGCAGATGACACCGCTGTTTACTCACAATCCTTCTACACACAAGCACTTAAATTTCAGCTAGCCCATCACCTTTCTATCCTTTAACCCCATTATGATAAGAAGTGGAAGCTAAGTGTCAATGGACAGTAAACTCAACTATTATGTTTCCATAAGAAACATACACATAGCATCATGCCCACCTCGCTTATCTAAACAACATCCCGGTTACTCATTCCCCGAAGGCCAAATACCTAGGAATCATTTTTGACCAGAGAATGGAATTTCACTACCATGTATCCCATGCTTTGCGACAAATTTTATGGGCATCAAATCCATGGCTCCCCTCTAATGCGCAGTCTAACTGCGAAAAGCTATGATCCAGACAACCCCATAGTTCACGGCCCACCCACAAGAATTTACCTATCTATTTTGAACCCCCTCGAACACCTTCCCGATCCCAAAATCTGCTAAGAAAGATTTGGCGTTAGCGCCAACAGACTTAGTTTTATGCAGGAGACTTCGACAAATTCCACCATAAGTTCTAGTTTCTATCCTCAATTTATTCGGAAAGTTCCAACTAGCCAGCCAATTAGTGTGTGGCTAACTCCTCTCTCGCTGACTATGAGGAAATGTTCTTGTCTAATCAACCTTCGGATGCCCCAGTTTACCTGAAAAATGGGACTTTCTGTCGGAATTTCGCATAGCATATCCCAGTCCTTGGTAAATTCTTGTTCCCAATACTCCCAACCCTCATCCTCTGACATCCTTTACAAACTTCCCCACTTGCATCAGAACCATTACCTAAAGACCC